CAATGTTTATAAATAGATGTCCTTCATCCTTCCTCCTCCTCAGGGGTAGGTGTGCTTCGCACATTGTTCACATTCCCATGATTTTTTACCTCCACTTCCATCACTGGAATTGGATGAATGGGTGAAGCGCCTGCAGCAAACCAATAGATACATTAACTTCATGTGTGATTACCACCGGATAGAGTAAATCTAAATATTTTAAAACCTGAAAAAATCCATTTTAAAAAACGGTGGCTTCATTTTGTCACAATTATTATTATGTATTCACCTGTTGTTCAATTTAGTAATCACATTTTATATTTTCAAAATTAACTATGGATTTATATACTTAAAGTGCATATTATAAGTATTTAGAAGATTATAAAGACTACAAGTATAATGCGTAATGAGCTGAAAAGTACATAACAATTCAATAATTTTGAGGTGGTCTTGTCAACGTGCATGTAAATAACATGCCAAAATTCGTTTTGAAATCCTAAAAAAGATATATCAATATAAGTAATCCTAACATGGTGGAAGCATATAATAACTGATTGTGAACTGAAACTACCCCAAACCAACAAAAAGGTGAACAAGTAGATTACACACAGGGTGCTTGAGTGAATATGTCGAAGGAATTCAACAAAACCATGGTTTAAAAAAACTATTTGAGGTACGCCTCAAATTCTGCCTCACATGAGGCTATAACAACTCAAAACTTGCACCTTAAATGCCATTTTTGAGCCTTGCGCCTCAAGCTTGAGCTTCAAGACAAGCAAGGTGTTTGCTCGTTGCCTGTTTGTCTTGCATCCTTTAAACATTTAATTATTGGTTTTAGCTTCTTAAGTTAACTTTTTTTATAACCTAAGATATTTAACCGGGTCTTTTATTTTCTTATTTATGTATATGGAGGAAAATGGAAAGGAGAATATATCATTGCAATCAGAGGATGACAACAAAAACAAAATAAAGTTATAATGTGGACGATGATAACATTGTTAAATGTTAACTATTCACTTAAACAACATATCAGTGGTGATAATATAAGAAATTTTTGGATTGTCTCCACTTTTGGTAATAGATTATAATTTTATTATGTGATTACTAATTTGGGAACTTGTTATTTTCTAGATATATTATATGTTTGTTTGTGAATTAGTCTTTTAATTTTACTAATTAGTTTATTATGGATTGTTTTGAAAGGTTTATCGTATATTATGAGCATAGTTCAGTATTTTTATATTCTTCCTTATTTATACATTGTTCTACCTTACGCCTCAAGACTTGTGCCTCACATCAATACTCGATCAAGCCTTTTTAAATATTGGGCAAAACAAGCCCATACTTCAGGAGAAGGGGCGCTCTCTCCTGTCTTTTGATGACACATATTAGGGGTAGCGAATGTCTCTAAAAAACACGGACTCTGCTAAGTGGTATAGAGGCTAACACTTGCCTGGTACAAGGTCGGAAGGAGAAGCATTAGTTTCTTTGAATGAAAACCCTAACAAACAGTGGCAATATCTCTTAACTTTTACTATTGGGGAATGAATCATCACGATTCAAATCTAGGGAAGAAATTTTCAAAAGGGACACTACCTTGAGAATCAAGAACTATAACGCTTTCAAGAATGCCCCAAAAGAATAGAAAAATGAACAACAAAGGAATAGAAAGAGTACATATCGTACTAAGCTTCTCCTTCATGTCATCAGCACCATAAACCTACTTTCAAGATGTGCTTATTGGAATGAGCAATTCAATTCTCATAGGTTCTGATTTATATATCCCACAACCATGTTGTGATCCTGTTATGCCACAAGGGTGTGATGGGATCAAGTGCCTATTACATGTGACCCGGATTCAGTTTCCTTTTTCAGTTATCATTCACGATGTAATTAGTGATGCTAACAACAGCTTCAATAATATAACATTAATCTTTTTACGATTCAATAATGAATCGTACAGACCAAAATTATTAGATGGGATTCACCATTTTCGTTACTTCTCACAAATTCCGGGTAGAAATAAAAGGAAGCAACTATTTTCACCGCTGAACTTACATTAACTTTAACGGTTCAAACAAGAAAAAACGACAACAGACTGTCTGCAATTTCGCATTTTCTTCGAAATTAAAGACAAAAGAAAACAAGTTAATTTCCCTCAACAACCAATACGGAAAACTTTAACACCCAGTCACGTTATTTTTCCTTCGAAACTGCAAAAAATTTCCCATAATTATCAAAATTAGTCGTTCTTTATCCAATATTTTCAAATTGCCCGCATACAACGAAAGAGTAATAAAAAATTCCTAAAGAATTAAACTTCAATGCACCAATTTCACTACAAGCAACACAATATTTAAGATGTAATTCCCAGATTCACCATTTATCCAGCCTTTTAGGTCTAAAATACATAGAAATCAAAATTACTTATTTACCTAATTACCTGATTTCACTTCAAATTTATAATCAGTCATTTTATACCTTCGATTAAGAGGTCAATTATCAACGCCACCAATTTCATTCAAACTATATATCCACATTACCTTCAATAAAATAAGTCGAAGAAGGCCACCCACGCGCAGAACTAAACGACATCGTTTCATCCTCCGTCAAGAAATCTGACGGCTTTCCCCTATTCAGTATGCCCACCGTGGCCAAATTCTCAACCACCTCAATTAAACCTTGCGGGTGGCGAATGATTCCATTGCTGTTGGGCGGAGGAACCCAATAAGAATAACCGGGTAAAAACGGAAGCCAATCGGGCGCAGAACGGCGTACGACGATTCTGTGAATGGCCTCCTCGAGTCTCTTAATTCCGGAGCTTATGACCTCGGAGGCGGCCTCTTGAGAAGAAGATTGGTCCACCTCCACCTCAATAAATTCTACCTCGGTTTTACCGGATTGGTCGGAGCAATGGCGGTGGGTGATTAAGGCCCGAGGGGCAGCGACGGGGTTAAGGTTGGCGCGTCTGAGGGCTTGGGAGAGGATTCGCGCCATCGCCATTGGATATCTAAAAATTTGTATACAGACGGCACAATATATAGGTTTTGGGAACGGTTGTGAAGGTGAGTGCGTCTAAAAATGAAGCTGGCAATATAAATTAGTGGTGCTTGAATTCCAAGTTTGCTAGTCAAAAGGGGATGCTCACCAAATGGCTCCTCAAAAAAGAAAAAGAGGTACATATTTTATGATATAAATATTATGAGTAATACTATTGACAATTACTCACAGTTATAATCGTTCTGCGTAGCATATATGTGACGATTAGTAATTTGATACATTAATGTGGTAATTTTTTATTATCTTATGCAACAAATCATTAATCGTAATGTGTATACAATGTAGAGCGATTACGGTAGTAAGCGACTATAAATAGCAATATTCAAATAGTATTAATCCTTTATAATCACACGTTCTTCAATAAAATAATATTACCCGTAAATTCAAAACTTAACATGTCATCATACCGACAATATTTTGGGGGATGGAAGTGTGAACCATGGCCTTTGAAATTGGCTCTTTTTTGATCCTTTTCTCATGGTGATGGTGCGATTCTTTCTCACGCCACTTTATGAAAAGGGGTAAATGATTAAACTGTTGGTTCAATTGCAATCATCAAACACAATTATTTGCACAAGTGGAATCAATGAAAGTATTTGTTTCAACTCTCGTGCTTCCTAGTTCTATCTTGGGATTCTCTGCTTCTCTAGGAGAAGCATAGGAAAAAAAGATAATCAAAAATTCAAAATAAGAATAAAAGGCAAAAGTCTTAAACTACAAAAACGTAGGGGGAAAAAAGGCTAAATGGCTTGTATTTCCCCATTTCATTGCTCACTCTTGGGAGAATTTGGCGCTCTAACGAAGCGTCCCTGCAACATCATAAATGAGACATATTAGACCCCGGTTTGTTTCTCATTATTTGTCCATTAAAATGAAAAATATTATCGTTATCCATCATATCAATCTACTATATTTGATTTTCTATCTCTTGTGTGGGGACCGTAACGATTATATTTTTCATTCCCATTTTTACATTAATGTGTACCAAACGGAGCCTAGATGCCAAAGTCGTACGTACTACATATTAAGTGCAAAAATAGAAATATATATTTCACTATGAGATTTAAATATATACATGTGTGTGGGAGATGAACATTATAGACAATTATATTTTACGATGTAATGAATATCATTAAACTTTATGGAACTGTAAGCAATTATTAGTCATCAATATTTTAGATAATTTCGTAATTAACCACTTGCAACATCAAATTATAGAATTTCACCTCATTTAAATTTTTTTCTTTATTTTGTACTTCTACTATCTTTTACATACTTATATCTCCCATTGATCACCCAAACTATTTGCATTCTTGGAACGTACCTTCATTCTTGGCCGTCGATCAGCGTTGATTTTTCTGACTTGATATCTGATTTTCTTAGAAAAAAGACGTGTACGACGCTTTTCTTTGTAACGTAACACACTAGCCTCTCTCATCCCACTAGTCTCGGAAAACAGGTCTATTTGGGCCAACCGGGCCTGCACCCATACAAACAAAGAGCAATTATTTAGTGCTACACAAGTAAGAAAACAAGAAAATGCTATGTATACACAGTGGTGTACACATAGCATTACACCCTCCTCACATTGAGGAGGGCCATACACAATAAAACATTCGTGGACCCCTCTTCATGTAAGAGGAGTGTAATGCATTGTGTACACCATGAGGTGTACAAATAGCATTTTCCAAACTAGAAATAGTTGAAGGATTGTGCTATATGTACAAACACATTTGTACTAAAAGTTTTATACACTCTCAAAATAGAATGGTGGGGACCACATGGCCTAATTTTTTAATGCAAAGGGGACCCGCATGCATGTGAGAGTGAATAAACTATTTTGTCAACCAAATTTTGTACAAATAGTTTTATCCATAGTTGAAAGACAAACATAAGTAGACATATCCAATCTTTCAAGATAGTTATATTTTGGTGCCCAACTAAGTAAAAACAGCGTCCCAACCTCAACCTTTTTTAATTTTTTGGCAGCCGAAGTTCATGTGTACAGAACCGTCAAAAGATATATCAAATTGGAATGTTAAAATTTTATTGTAAACTATAAATTGAACAAGATAGATCATGAAAAATATAACCTTAAAAACATGTCAAATGTGCATTTCACTAGCCAATATGATGGTTTTATGGACGATTTCCATCTACAAGGACCTCAACTGCCAAAGTATTGAAATGTTAGGTACCGGATGCTCTTTTTGGTAAGTAGGGGATCAAAAAGTGACTACCGTGAAAAGTTGGAGACTGCTTCTATTTTCCCAAAATTAAACTCAAGAAACAAAGGCAGGTGTTAAAAAGTAGGGACAATTCCATCATTTCCCCATTCGTTCTTATCAATTTTATATTAAGGACCAACAAAGTAGAAATTAATTAAAAAGACTCGAAACAAGTCACTTGGTAACAAAATAGTTGATACTATAAAATATGCTTAGACAAAAAAAGATACTATAATAATTGTCATTACGCGTCGAAAATCGACTTTCCTACGTAACAAAAATAAAATGAAATTAAGTGGCGCATCAAGTGACATCATACAGTAACTTAAATAAAATAACAGAAATAGTGTTCAAACCCCCTAAACATTCAATTTCTTGGTGGGAGATTAAGAGTGGAACATACTTGAACATCATTGCCGACAGCGTCCGAGCCTGGAACTTCACCAGAAAATGGCGACCTCCTATCGGACCACGCATTCAAAACTTTGTCATAGTCCAATTTTAGGAGCATCCCTGCATTTGTTTTGGCAATTTCCTTGTCTTTAAATGCTTCATTAGCCAAGTTGTGCTCGACGATTCCATTGGAAATCGTATTCTCCTTCCCTAATTTGGAATTCTGAATTTCCGATGGCTTTTCGACTTTCTTTTTCTTCTTTTCCGCTGGATTTTTAACCATTTTTGGATTAATATCGAGAACATTTACACTAGAGAACCTCCACCAATCTCCCTTATCAACATTTTTCATTGCCCTCACTTCATTTCTCATACCAAATCCAAAATCAAATGCATCTTCAAATCCTACGCCTGTTGGATAACCATAAACAAAATTATTCTTTTGGCTAATATAAGCGTTGGAATCATCCAACAACTCATTTTCGGTCCTCAAATTTCCCATTATACTATCAATACCACCGTCAATTTCCTCGTCTAGTATCGACTCTGCATCGAAATCTTCTTGAAACTCGTCGCAAAATTCCACCGAATTCACTCTAGAATTGATTTCTCCCGGACTTTGGCATGGCCTTTCGATCGGCAAGGTGGGCTTTTCTTGAATTGGTGGATGCATCAAGAAGCTGAAATTGTCGATTAAAACCAAGTCCGAGGGCACGTATGGAAATGCAATATCATTGTTTTTACTCTGTGGTTTGTTAAATTTGCAAGGCTTTGTGAATTTTTTGGAGAATAATTTGGGGTAGGCTGTGGAAAGAATCGCTGCAGCCTCATTGTAAGTTTGATTAGGCCTTTTTCGAGGGGTTCGAGGTTTTCTTGTGGAGATCGCAAGAGGGTAATTGCTGGATTCTGAGAGAGTTGAAGATGGAGAAGATGAATTTGAAGCCCAAGATGTTGATGGAGATTTAATAATATCAAGGTCTAACCTATATGCTCTTCCACCTCCACTTAAAAAGGATGACATTTGTAAATCCAAACAAGAAAAATCCCTTCAACGGTAGGAAAAATGATTCAAACTAATGGATTGCCACCTCGCTCGCGATATAGTAATTCCAAGTCATCTCAGATTCAACACTAGTTTTGAATTCAAGAACTTTACCAGACGTTTCCTGATAGAAAACTCCAATCAGTAAAGAAAATGACAAAAGAAAGTACCAACTGGACTGAAGAAGTTAAAAGAACTCTGCAAACAAACTTAAACAAAAGTACTACAGAACCCTACACCCTCGAAAATATTTTGGAATTATAAGCAAACTTTTTGATTGATTAAAAGCTTGAAAAGGATCAAAACATGACGAAAGTAAAGAACCCTTCAAAACCCACAAAGGAAAAGGAAAGAAATTAGTATTTCAGCCACCAGAAAATCCTTAACAATCTTGAAGTTATCGAAAGTGTGAAAATCCCAGAATTTTTGCACCAACAGGAATGAGGAATCCCAAAATTCCTAAGATTTCATAACATAGGATTTGTTTGAGGAAATGTGTAAGTATCTCAGAACGGAAATATGGCTCATACAACGAATTCAACGTCTCAGTTCTTTGAGCGCGCGCACACACACACACATATATATACAGAGAGAGAGAGAACATCTGTTGTGTACAGTGAGTCACGGGATGAAATAGCAGAAGATACATACACACATCCTCTGGCTATATATTTTTTGTTCCTTCGTCTCTCTAGAATGGAGCGGGAAGGGGACCAGAAGTTCTTTAAAGTGGGCCACATTTGTCACCCTCCCTACCTATCTAAGACCATTTTCTACTGGCACCAAAAATTGAAATAAATTTTACATCATTTTAAATTAAATTTTGCATCTAACTAAAAATTATTACCAATCCATTATACCAAATGAACAGTATTTAACCATTTTCTTCATTCTTTTTCTTAACAATTTATTTATTTGAAAAAAAAATTATTTATTTATTTTACAACTATATAAATTACTAAATAAATAATTATGTTTGATTAACAAAAATATTGAACTACTATTGATTACTAAATTATTCACATATTTTGTGTATTACATTAAATTGACGAAAATAATTAACTATATTTATTATAAATAATTACGTTAAATTAACGAAAATAATTATTAAATTAAAAAATTCTAAATTATTATTAATTATATTTTTAAAAAATAATAAAATTTAATAATATAATCAACAACAACAACAACAACAACAACAACAACAACAATAATAATAATTTTATTTATTAAAGAATATATAACAAAAATGGCACAAATACCCCTAACCAATATGTTTAAAAAATGAAAGAAAAAGGCAAAATTGACTTTGCACCAAAATGGTGCAAACATTGTAGGCATTTTTGTGCAAAATGGTGTTTTGAGATCTCGAGATGGATGCCCTTATTTGGACTTTCTTTGTTGATTTTTTTGGCTCAACTTGGAAAAAAAAATTATTTTAAAAAGTCAATTTAAAGTCAAACGAATTTTTAAGTTTAATTTATACATAGATATAAACAAATGATAGATAAATGAATAATGATCATGAGTCTATAATCTATTGAAATGTATATGTGAAAATGAAATTTGACCATTTATAAAATTTGCTAAATGAATATAAATAAATGATTTGTGTTAGACAAAGTTAAAAATTAGTAGGTTATCTATTTTGAAAGTACGAAGAGATTATTTTCTAAAACCATAACACTTTTTTATCTACAAAAAAGGTAAGTTATCGAGATTTATTTAATTTTTTCCGTATCTCAATTGCACTTTTGGAAAAATAAAATTCATTCACTTTAACTATTTAGTATTCATTCGTGTTTTTTCTTTTTTTTCTTTTCTTTTTTTTTTTTTTTTTTTCTTTTTTTTTTTTTTTTTTTTTTTTTTTTTTTTTTTTTGAAATTTCTTTTTGTGAATACTGAATTATGTAACAAAATCTTAAAAATACTTAGATTTGTATTTATTTTTGTGTCACGCAATGTCTATATTTGGTAGGGATTAACATGTTGTATTTTAATCTAAATTAAATTCAACAATTAACTTTAACTACAATTTCATAGGTATCACAACTTTTCAACAATATATTTAATTAATTTTTATTAAAGTTTACTAAAAATTTGGTTTTAATCCCACCAAAAAGGGGGATATAAAAAAAAAAAAACTCATAGTGGCACTATTTTGTATCAAATTCAAGGATGGGGGCATTTTGGTAACTTTGTCGTATCTAATCTATGGGCATGCATGAACTACCATATTTCTGTTATGCAACAGTACCAATTGCAAGAATTTCATTGATGGAAAAGTCTCTTATCTTCTGACATGGCATAAGTTTATTGGGTACTTGGAGATTTTTAAGGGTGATGTGGATTATCTTCGTTGGTTGGTGAATTTTCACTTGATGAGGGCAATGATTTGAACCTTTTTTGGCGTCTTGTGCCTTATTGTGTGTGGTATTTGGCAATCATACGTTAGGCAATTTATAATCAATGGGTTGTGATTAGAATACAAACAATCAAATTAAGTTTTGAGATATTGCTCGAGAGCCCTTATGATATTTATTTGAAAAGTACAAGAAGAACGTTTTTGATGTCGATTACTTCGATGATTTGTCTTCACTCTATTTTTTTTTTTTTATATCCAGGTATCCCAACTTACACCAGACTAAATTTTGGACCTTCAAGACCCATGCCCCTAGAACCTTGAAAGGGGTAAATCGCGGGTTATGCCTCAACTGGATCACAAGTTCCCCTCATTGACTGTACAGTTTTGCGCACAAGATACCTTCATCCACAGTGATTGCTCCATACCAAATTTTTTGCAACAGATTCCCACCAAGAATGGAACTCTCCACCCTGCCGCTAGAAGCAAGCCAATATTAATTGATCCACCAATTGAGCTGTGCCCCGGGGGCATCTTCACTCTATTTTTGTTAAGAAGTAATTGAACTCCATTTGGATTTTATTACAAATATATGTTATTTTCTTGAGAAGTTGGGTCCTATGACAAAATATTGAAAGAATTCAAAAGTTGGAAAATATTTTCCATGGAAAAAAATAGTAATCAAACACCTAAAGTAGGAATTTGAATGAAAAACTGATATTTTTCATGAAAAAAATGTAATCAAACACACCCTTAGTTCTTTTTTGAACTAATTTGAATAGAAAGTTAGTATATGTGTTCGAATCAAAATGGGAATGGACTAGAGTTGGGTATTCATAATATGATGATCATATGATTCCATGATTATAAGTTCATTCCATGCTGAATAAGATCAAAAATAAGTTTATATATATTCTCAATGAATTGTTCAAATTGTATTAATGTTTATAGAATCAATTTTGTACTTCAGATGCCTTAGATCTTCACCATTACCAAGTAATGGCGTGAAAAGGGGCCACGGCGTATTTACGAATCGGTGCTTGCCTAAAAGGAATGGTGAAGTAATCTAAGCATATGTTTGGAGAGTGTTTACAAACATTTTTTTTTTTAGAATCTACGAATATTACCCAGTTGTTCATAACTTTATTTTGTCTATTTATAAATGGAATCATTTATAGATCTTCTTATCTTAGTTTAAAAGAGTGGCAAGATTCAAATTTAGCTCGATGGGGAGGGGGGGGGGGTTAAAGATCCTATATTCAAAACTTTAGGGGCCAATACTCAATAGCACATACTACCAAAATATCTCTTTTTCTCACATTCTTTCCATTGTTGAGGCCCCATTGCCTAAGATATTTCAAGAATGTCTCAATGTTTCTCTTTGTTTGTTCGTTTTGTAACACAGATATTTACTTTCGATATTTATCCAACATATTGTGTAAGTTACAATTTAACCTTTTATATTTCTCTTTGTATTACAATTTTATAGGATTGTAATTTGGGTGTTAAAACGTATTTTAAAAGGCACGTTTATTATAATTCCGTTTTTAATTTTTTTTTTGCCATATCTGTATTCAAGTCAAATTTATGAGTTTTCGTCTTTTCGATATGGTTTTTAAATATTCTTTTATTAAATTTGAAAGGAGCCTTCAAAGCATGATTAAAATTATTAAAAATTTAAATCAAGTGTTAGTTATTGAGGTGTATATGTAGTTGTTTTCAACTCAAAAGTCAAAAACATAAAGATGCTAATTTTTAGCGCATTGGATGAATGAGCTAGTCGAGACTACATTTCGTAAAAAAAAAAAAAAATATTGTCTCAATAAAAAATATCTGTGTGATAAAGTCCTAACTCTATATAATTTTTAACGTATTAATATATCTCAATTTAAAAAAAGTCGAATGTAAGTGGGACGACACTTGTATCACTTTGGCGTTGATATCACCATAGAATTGAATTATATCCATAGATCTAATCTTGGCCACAAATGTTAATGTCTTGATTATTGTTGCAAACATATAGTTATCACCTTATCTTATGAAGAATGGTTTGAAAAGATTTGGGGCCGTAGATTTTGGATTACCCTAAAGTAGAAATTTCGCGATACATGTGATTTACAAAATCTTAGTGGGGCCGTAGATTTTTTTTCATATGAAAAAATCTTAATTTTTCCCAAGTGCAATGTTTGTGAGAGTTATTTGTTGGTTTTCATCTCGAGGTTAAAGTTATTACTACTATAAAAGTTCACTTGATTTCTATATGATGTCGATTACATTGAATCAAACAAGATTGACTATTACATCTATGTTTAGCTAATTTTTTTTTGTTGAAATTAGTGTCAAATGTTGATAGTTTGAAAGCAAGAATTGGAATTAAAAAATGTTATCCAAAATTCAGAACGTTGCACGACACGACAATCCATCCTTTACTCGATCGTCAATTGTCAATTATACACTCATGCCTTGTAGTTGTCTCATTAAAGATATTTTCCATTTCAACGTAATTTAATGGTAAAACGATATTTTGACTAACTAATGATGGACGAGTTTGGAGGAAAGTTATCGTTAGTGTCATAAATTGTCTACCAACAAAGCTTATCGATACCTGGGATCGGACAAGTGTTTAATATTTTCTACTCCAAGGTATCGATATTTTAAAATTTGTAAGTTGACTATTGACTAAAAATTCACATATGCATGTAAAATTGCCAATAAACAATTTAAATTGGTGCAACTGGACAATGAATGTGTATGATGAAAATAAAGACCGACACGTCAATCTCTTTGAAATGCATGAGTTCAAAAATAGAATGGCCTTTATTTTTTTTGAAGTTGGATAGTTTACAGATATGGTGCACAATGGAACACCATAAGGAACACTGTGGAAACAAATGGACCCAAGCTTTTAGAGGATGATTTATCTACAAGGCATGTCTCTCTCTCTCTCTCTCTCTCTCTCTCTCTCTAATTTGTAATTTTACATCCTCAATCATCATTGTACTTTTCAGGTTTTTGCTCTCTCTCTCTCGCTCTCTCTCTAATTTGTAATTTTACATCCTCAATCATCATTGTACTTTTCAGGTTTTTGTATTGATATCTTGTTTGATAAAGATCTTGTTATACAGATCATTCTCGCATATATTAAATTAGTATTAGCACATATCTTAATCCTGATCATTCATTCAAGAAAAGGAGGCAATAATAGCGCAAATATACACGAGGGTTACTCTACCCGCATATATTTCTACAAAAAATTTGATGTATTCTTACATTCATTAATAATATCAACCATACCACTTTAACCTACCAACACTTTCTCGGTCGAGCCTATCACACAAGGCTTATCTAGTGCGATTTATCTGGCTGTGCGTAGTTTGCAGGCTTTTGCGTCGAGAGTTTACCCAGTACACACCCGAAGGGTAGCGGCTGTGGGTTCCTCAATCATCAAAAAAAAAATCATACCACTTGTTTCGTGCGGGTTAGTCGCTAACAATTAAAAAGGGTCAGACGATTGTGTAAGGGACAAATCTCTTGAAACAAAGTCCCAAAAAGGGGTATTCTTTTATTGGCGATGACTTTACAATTGGAAATGAAAAACAACGTGCCTTCAAGGGCGCAAACACACGAGTTACTGAAAGAAAAGTGTTTAAATCTAAAAACTAAGAAAATGAAAATTACATATTCTCTGTCTGAGAGTTTTGGATTCGGTCTTTTGCTTCTATGTCCTTTCTCCCTTTTATACTTCATAAACGATCTCTTTGCGATTAACTACTCTAAAAACTGCTTGATCGTCCTATAACTACCCACTTTCTTCGTAGTGGCCATTTTGTCATGAAAACTGCCTTTTAACTGCTGTCATTACCTTTCATCATTTAACCGCTTTCGATTGAATTCCTTGAATCTTGGAACGTGATAGGGCTGCTTTAACCACTGCTTTGATAACTGTATTTCTTGATAACCACGACGCGTTATGTTTGTTGATACCTTGGGCGACTTGAAGGTTTGGGCGAGAATAGAATAACAGCTCTGGGCGACCGTATAACACTCTATTCGTTCAGATTCTGGGCGACTTACAAACTTGGGCGATGGCGTTACAGCATTCTTGGGCCCCCTTATTTGGGCCTTCACCTTGATTTGTTCGATTGGACTTCGTTCTTTTGGCTATCTGATTTGGGGATCCTCCAATTGGGCTTTACTCCTTGGACCGTTCGATTTGGGCTGAATTTTTATGTGTCAACAATTACCCCCCAATATGGCAGAATTAATAATAATTACTGAATTTTTCCATATTCACTTTGTGTTTCCAGCAACGTTCGAAATTCCCAAGAATTTCAATCATTGTTTCCTTTTATCACTTGAAAAGGTGCGTCGTTTTGCAAACCCTTATAAACCCCAAACACGCCATTTCACTGCTACCAAACCACGCCTCATTTTTTGTGTCTCTTTCACGATTCACTGTTCATCTTTTGCTTCCTTGTTACGTAACCCCGAAAAGCTTCGTTCCTTCTCCAATGGCTGCTTCACAATCTCAAGCTAGCGACTCCTTTAGTTTTGATAACTTTTAGAGACTTCTGAATCGCCCATACATAACCCCAAGTTTTCTCGCACCCGCCGACGTTGGACGTAATGAGTTCTACTTGGGTCCTTTTTTCAACAATGCAGAGACAGTTGAATAGGCGGCGGTGGGTCAGCTGTTTCCCTGCACTCAGGGTCCTCCATTCTTGAACTCTCTACCGCTGGGGCCACTTCGCGAAAGAGGTATTCGCACTTGGCCTAAATCTGATATAGCTTTTCGTAGGTGGCATGCTCGTCTTGTGGGTCATGGTCCTACTAAGGCACTTTTTGATAGCGCTAGGATTTCTGATTTGTTAGAAGTCTCTATTCGCCCCCCCTACTTTTGATTCAGCACTCTTTTCGATTGCTTTGAGTTTTTGGTCCCCTGAGTATAACACCTTTATTTTTCCTCTTGGCCCCATGTCTATTACGTTAAGGGATGTTGGGGCCCTGGTGAATCTACCACCTTTGGGCGATACCATTTTCCCAGGTATCTTAGTTTCTAGTGGCGCCCCAAAGTTTGGTAAAAACTATACCGACTCTTATTCAAGCCTGCAGACCCTCCACAATCATTCGAGTGCTGAGCCTACCCACACCGAGCGAGTGGCCTTCCTTTTAATTTAGCTTTGTAAATATGTTTTGTGCGTGCCAAGTATAAAGCCTTCTCTGAGTTATTTACCCATAGCGCACGAATTGGCGCGTAGCAGGCCTTTGAATTTATGTTCTTTATTTTTGGCTGCCTTTTATAGAGGCATGGCCTCTCTTCAAGCTCAATTGAAGAATGGTGCATCATTTTATTCATTAATGTATTTGTGACATATTATAAGCATTCGCGCATGCTAAAAATAATTGACGATAAATAGAGTATATGAACAAAATTTAAATTTCACGGTACTTACAAAATATTAAAATTGAAGTTGTTGGGAATCACAGAAACTGACAATTTGATCACCTCTATTTATTATAAAATTCAAGGACTACTTTCTTCCCATATAATAGATAAGCTTCTTTGTATGATCTTACACGATTTTATGTCATTTTATACGAGTTTAATCAATCTATAAAAATTGCTCAATTTAGTGGGAATGGTCCTAATAATCACATCAATTAACCCTAAAAGGAAAAAGACTCACATGTAATGTTCATCTTATGTCTTTGAATGATTATATGGGACATGATAATGCATTTAACAACTTGTGAACATGGGAAATTTATTTGCATAATGAAGTATTATTTAGGTCCAAATGTTAAGTGTGACGAATCAAACGAGTTCTACATTAAAAATTTGTAATGTGCACATTATTCAAACCAATTTTAGGAAGGCATGTTAGGGCGACAAGAAAGTAACATCATGGAAAACAAAGAAAAAATGTTTATTTTGAAATTTCCATGAACTACATGAATATTAACGATGATGAATTTAGTATAATATTTTAAATACTTGAGTACTGAAATTTCTATCCTACGATGTAACAAACTAGTGTAGTATTTAATCATGCAACTAAGAGAAAAATTTCCTTTTTTACAAAAAATAAAAATAAATGACAATAACCGCTTGAAAGTTGCTATACATTGATAGGATGAATACTGATATTATGATACACACAAGAAATATTAATAAAATTGGATCTTAAAATTTAACTAACAATATAATTTATAGATTCATCACAAAAAATTCGTAAGAAAAATTGTCAATGTGAACATTTCAAAGAAGTCATTTTTAGCGGGAAAACATACTCATGGCCAAAATGTGGATTGGTTAAAGGCCTATACCCTACCATGATTGCAAAATAGTCTTTTAGATTAATGATTTAGCTATCTCAATTATCCATATTGACCATTGATTAAGTGGAGTGTCAAATCATGAATGGATTGAAGTAACATTCAAAATTTGTCTCCAATTTTTGATTTTCTCATGTAATTGTCTCACATTTGTTTCGATAATAAAATTATTCCACCATTTTGTGCGATGAAATAATGGAGAAGGAAAAAAAAATAGTTATCATACAACAAATAAAAAATAAAAATTTTGGACGTAGGCATACTTTAAGCTACTTGATTTTGTTCACGGGGCCTTGACCCAAACCTCAAAGCATATAAGAAAGTCACACAACACAAGAAATTACGAAGTGTTTGGGTCGAACTCTTATCAAGACAAATCCTTGTGAGGTTGTATAGAATTGTTCTTGACAACCTTTTCCCCATTATTCATCATTGTGGTTAATTAGAAAAAAAAATCATTTTTTATTGAACGTTAAATAGAAAAATTCAGTACGATAGTAGATAAGCTATTATAATTGACACATGAACCGAGTTCTTTTTCTTTAGTCAATCGATTTTTTTGTTATCCTTACTCAAGCACTCTGGGATCTGGGTTGTAAACGCGTGAACTCCTTTTTATACTTGAAAACTTAGTTTTTGTACTGATATCAGATGCAATATTAAATACTTGAACATGCTTAGATTTAGTCTGTGGAAAGATTGTGATGCAATACAAGACATAAAGATACGGGAGCTTGATTTGAATTTCATATGTTTATTAAGACGTTATATGTTGATCAAATTTACATATGGATAGGAGTCGAGGGACTAAATAGCAAATTGGATTATATTTGGCATCACTGTAACTGATTTAAATTAGACGGATAGAAATGAGTGATGATAAATCGATAGTCACATTATATGTACGTATAAAAAGTAGGTTTGAGTAAGGTGTGTAAAATATACACGCATGCTAAACATGTGAAAACAATATCAATTTCTTGATTCAAATTCATAATGAATTAAAGATTCTTTGATGTTTTAGTTTTTTGGCATTATTATGAATAAATGCGTGTTTGTTTGTCGTTTTACACTTCCATGGTGCATCAAATTGGTTACAAGATTTTTCTGAGGTATAAAAGAATCGAACCAAACTAGATCTAATGAATTTTTGTTTCAATTCGAAAATCCAGATATCTAGTTGAACAAAACTACACTTAGCTATTCAAATCTATGTCATTATTTTTAACATTCTTAAAAATTTTGGCAAAAATGATATATAGTTGAATTATGTTCTCATCAGAATCGGACTGCACCAAACATTACGCGATAGCAAGCCAAATCATATCTCAGTATCTTGATATTCTTGAAAATTATGGTAAAATTGGATATTCCAGGTCACACAAAGGTCAAAGTTGCCATTTGAACTGTTGAGGGCTTGAGGCAGTAGAAAACAACTGATGCAAGAGCAGAAAGGAGGAAGATGAAGTCTGTATGTTCAGTTTCACACTTTTTCCCTTTCCTTTTCTCAGTTACTCTTAATTTACACAAATATATATAATATTCTGCACCTTTTCTTCAACAAAATTTCTCAGCAAACATATTAAACAAATCCCAAATCCAAAACTCTAATCCTCCGTATCTCCATTTTTTCAAATTCTCTCCTCATTCATCAGTTTAGGTATGCCCCTTCTCTTCTCTCTCTCTCTCTCTCACACACACACACACACAAACAGAAATATCATTTTTTTTTCATGATTCTTGACTTTAAGGCCTGGATTTTGTGATATCCGTTTGATTTGCTCTTTGTCAAAATGAAAATGTGGGTTCTTTCAGTTGCTTGGTTTGTCCACATGGGTCTTGATTACCTGGATTCTTGATTTCAAGATATGGGAGCTTCCCATTTTTGATAAATTTGGTTCTGGGTCGTGATTTCTGTGATTCTCCACATAAATGTCTATTTGGGTTATTCGATTTCCCCTCGGGATTTATGAGTTATTGGGTATGTTTGGTTTCGATGCTCTTATTGGATCTGTAAAGTTCTGGCTCCTCTATAGTTCTTCATAATGTGAGGTTTGAAAATTCATGTCTATGATGGTTTACATGTGTTTTGGTGATATTGGCTCTGCAAAGTCCTTTACTTTTTCCTTTTTTTTTTTTTAATATAAATTTTTTCTGGGTTTTTTTTATTGATTTAAATTCATGATTGGGTTTGATTGACTCGTTTCCAGATCTATTCTATCTTTCTCACAAGTTGTGATTTTTGGTTCATTCACGCATTAAATTGTATATTGGATGACATGGGAATGATGCTTTGTTAATTGGTTCTGTTCTTGTTTTCATTTGTTGCATTTTGGATTATTTGAGCGTTTTCTTTCAATTTTTCTCTTTACTGCTTTTGCATAATTAATAAATCTAGGATATATGTAAATATAGAATTTTCTTTCAGCAGCTTTGATTGATTTGAGGAATATCTAGAAGTGTATATACATTTTAGGAATCTATACTGCTAACTAAATCCAGTCCTTTTTTGTTTCATATTTTTAGGTATAATCATTCATTGGAAGTTCCGTTAGGCTGAGCTCCGTGACCGTGATCAAGTTTTGATTGCTCAAATATTTTGAAAGTTGAAGGATATCTGTTCTCTACGTTTTTTCATTGTCTTTTGTGAGGATTGAATTAGCAATATGGGTTCGCGATTCCAATCTCATCAGCTGAGTAATGGCCTTTATGTCTCAGGCCGGCCTGAGCAGCCAAAAGAGAAGACTCCCACAATGAGCTCTGTTGCCATGCCATACACTGGTGGCGACATCAAAAAGTCTGGAGAACTCGGTAAAATGTTTGATATCCCAATGGATGGCTCCAGGTCAAGAAAATCGGGTCCCATTAATAATGCTCCTTCAAGAACAGGGTCTTTTGGTGGCTCTGCTTCTCACTCGGGCCAACTAAATTCTGTGAATCGGGCGGGGTCTGGTTCTTCTGGTGGTGTTTCTGGATCTGCATCTTTAAAGAAGACGAATTCTGGTCCACTTAATAAGCATGGAGAGCCACTGAAAAAGTCATCTGGGCCTCAAGGTGGAGGAGCAACTGCCATGTCCCGCCAAAATTCTGGCCCTCTTCCTCCCGTTCTTCCAACCACAGGCCTCATTACATCTGGACCTATTACTTCAGGTCCTCTAAATTCATCGGGGGCTCCTCGCAAGGGATCTGGTCCTTTAGAGTCGACTGGATCAATGAAGTTGCACAGAGATGCTTCCATAGTCAATAATCCAGCCGTCACACACCTTAGCCAGGATGATGAATATTCTTTCCACAAAAGCTTCCCGAAGCTAATCCTTTGGTCCATCATTCTCCTCTTTGTGATGGGATTTATTGCGGGAGGCTTTATCCTTGGGGCTGTTCACAATCCCATTCTTCTTGTTGTCGTCGTTATACTTTTTGCTGTTGTGGCTACAGTTTTTACCTGGAATACTTGTTGGGGACGAAGAGCTATTACTGGATTCGTAGCTGATTATCCAGATACTCAGTTAAGAACTGCAAAAGATGGACAGTTCGTCAAAGTTTCTGGGGTATGTTTAACATGCTGATTTTCATGTTCAACTTCTTATCCCCCTTAACCATACCCCTCCTCCCATTTGCCACAAAAAAGAAGAGTAGTTAACATAGTAATTCCACAATTTACATTCATGGACAAGATACCTTCATCCACAGTGATTGCTCCATACCAAATTTTTTGCAACAGATTCCCACCAAGAATGGAACTCTCCACCCTGCCGCTAGAAGCAAGCCAATATTAATTGATCCACCAATTGAGCTGTGCCCCGGGGGCATCTTCACTCTATTTTTGTTAAGAAGTAATTGAACTCCATTTGGATTTTATTACAAATATATGTTATTTTCTTGAGAAGTTGGGTCCTATGACAAAATATTGAAAGAATTCAAAAGTTGGAAAATTTTTTCCATGGAAAAAAATAGTAATCAAACACCTAAAGTAGGAATTTGAATGAAAAACTGATATTTTTCATGAAAAAAATGTAATCAAACACACCCTTAGTTCTTTTTTGAACTAATTTGAATAGAAAGTTAGCATATGCGTTCGAATCAAAATGGGAATGGACTAGAGTTGGGTATTCATAATATGATGATCGTATGATTCCATGATTATAAGTTCATTCCATGCTGAATAAGATCAAAAATAAGTTTATATATATTCTCAATGAATTGTTCAAATTGTATTAATGTTTATAGAATCAATTTTGTACTTCAGATGCCTTAGATCTTCACCATTACCAAGTAATGGCGTGAAAAGGGGCCACGGCGTATTTACGAATCGGTGCTTGCCTAAAAGGAATGGTGAAGTAATCTAAGCATATGTTTGGAGAGTGTTTACAAACATTTTTTTTTTTAGAATCTACGAATATTACCCAGTTGTTCATAACTTTATTTTGTCTATTTATAAATGGAATCATTTATAGATCTTCTTATCTTAGTTTAAAAGAGTGGCAAGATTCAAATTTAGCTCGATGGGGAGGGGGGGGGGGGTTAAAGATCCTATATTCAAAACTTTAGGGGCCAATACTCAATAGCACATACTACCAAAATATCTCTTTTTCACCCATTCTTTCCATTTTTTAGGCCCCATTGCCTAAGATATTTCAAGAATGTCTCAATGTTTCTCTTTGTTTGTTCGTTTTGTAACACAGATATTTACTTTCGATATTTATCCAACATATAGTGTAAGTTACAATTTAACCTTTTATATTTCTCTTTGTATTACAATTTTATAGGATTGTAATTTGGGTGTTAAAACGTATTTTAAAAGGCACGTTTATTATAATTCCGTTTTTAATTTTTTTTTTGCCATATCTGTATTCAAGTCAAATTTATGAGTTTTCGTCTTTTCGATATGGTTTTTATATATTCTTTTATTAAATTTGAAAGGAGCCTTCAAAGCATGATTAAAATTATTAAAAATTTAAATCAAGTGTTAGTTATTGAGGTGTATATGTAGTTGTTTTCAACTCAAAAGTCAAAAACATAAAGATGCTAATTTTTAGCGCATTGGATGAATGAGCTAGTCGAGACAACATTTCGTAAAAAAAAAAAAAAATTACTGTCTCAATAAAAAATATCTGTGTGATAAAGTCCTAACTCTATATAATTTTTAACGTATTAATATATCTCAATTTAAAAAAAGTCGAATGTAAGTGGGACGACACTTGTATCTCTTTGGCGTTGATATCACCATAGAATTGAATTATATCCATAGATCTAATCTTGGCCACAAATGTTAATGTCTTGATTATTGTTGCAAACATATAGTTATCACCTTATCTTATGAAGAATGGTTTGAAAAGATTTGGGGCCGTAGATTTTGGATTACCCTAAAGTAGAAATTTCGCGATACATGTGATTTACAAAATCTTAGTGGGGCCGTAGATTTTTTTTCATATAAAAAAATCTTAATTTTTCCCAAGTGCAATGTTTGTGAGAGTTATTTGTTGGTTTTCATCTCGAGGTTAAAGTTATTACTACTATAAAAGTTCACTTGATTTCTATATAATGTCGATTACATTGAATCAAACAAGATTGACTATTACATCTATGTTTAGCTAAATTTTTTTGTTGAAATTAGTATCAAATGTTGATAGTTTGAAAGTAAGAATTGGAATTAAAAAATGTTATCCAAAATTCAGAATGTTGCACGACCCGACAACCCTTCCTTTACTCGATTGTCAATTGTCAGTTATACACTCATGTCTTGTAGTTGTCTCATTAAAGATATTTTTCATATCAACGTAATTTAATGGTAAAACAGTATTTTGACCAACTAATGATTGACGAGTTTGGAGGAAAGTTATCGTTAGTGTCATAAATTGTCTACCAACAAAGCTTATCGATACCTGGAATCGGACAAGCGTTTAATATTTTCTACTCCAAGGTATCGATATTTTAAAATTTGTAAGTTGACTATTGACTAAAAATTCACATATGCATGTAAAATTGCCAATAAACAATTTAAATTGGTGCAACTGGACAATGAATGTGTATGATGAAAATACAGACCGACACGTCAATCTCTTTGAAATGCATGAGTCCAAAAATAGAATGGCCTTTATTTTTTTGAAGTTGGATAGTTTACAGATATGGTGCACAATGGAACACCATAAGGAACACTGTGGAAACAAATGGACCCAAGCTTTTAGAGGATGATTTATCTACAAGGCATGTCTCTGTCTCTCTCTCTCTCTCTCTCTCTCTAATTTGTAATTTTACATCCTCAATCATCATTGTACTTTTCAGGTTTTTGTATTGATATCTTGTTTGATAAAGATCTTGTTATACAGATCATTCTCGCATATATTAAATTAGTATTAGCACATATCTTAATCCTGATCATTCATTCAAGAAAAGGAGGCAATAATAGCGCAAATATACACGAGGGTTACTCTACCCGCATATATTTCTACAAAAAATTTGATGTATTCTTACATTCATTAATAATATCAACCATACCACTTTAACCTACCAACACTTTCTCGGTCGAGCCTATCACACAAGGCTTATCTAGTGCGATTTATCTGGCTGTGCGTAGTTTGCAGGCTTTTGCGTCGAGAGTTTACCCAGTACACACCCGAAGGGTAGCGGCTGTGGGTTCCTCAATCATCAAAAAAAAAAAATCATACCACTTGTTTCGCGCGGGTTAGTGGCTAACAATTAAAAAGGGTCAGACGATTGTGTAAGGGACAAACCTCTTGAGACAAAGTCCCAAAAAGGGGTGTTCTTTTATTGGCGATGACTTTACAATTGGAAATGAAAAACAACGTGCCTCCAAGGGCGCAAACACACGAGTTACTGAAAGAAAAGTGTTTAAATCTAAAAACTAAGGAAATGAAAATTACATATTCTCTGTCTGAGAGTTTTGGATTCGGTCCTTTGCTTCTATGTCCTTTCTCCCTTTTATACTTCATAAACGATCTCTTTGCGATTAACTACTCTAAAAACTGCTTGATCGTCCNTGGAATCGCAGGTGATCTATTGCAGTATTATTGTAAGAGGGTCTATTGCAATAGTGATGAAAGCAAGAGGGGAAAAATGTTAGTAGTAACTCAAATTTATTGAAATAAGGATCTCAATAAACGATTAAGTCTATTTAATATTTAAATGTTAAAATGTCACATGATAGTTACCCATTAATTTCATCCATTATTCTTTTATATCGATCAATTTTTAAAAAAATTTCTATATGTTAACATCTTTAATTTTACATACATTTACTTAAATTGACAAGAATAAAACCAAATAAAATGTACCACTCTAAATTCATCCACTAATATTTATCCTCATCTTTTATAATTTTTTAAACTTTATATTTAACTAAAACCTTAATATTCATAAAACATCTTCTTTAATTAAAGTCGAAACTAACAATGAAAGAGACACCATTAGAGTAAATACGTACAGACACTATTATCATGAATCATTTGATAATCGAGCAGCTAATGATGAGGTCTAATATTGCTCATATGTCAAGACTAAGAGTCATAGTTGTTTAGAACGATCAAGTAAAAACTATATTGCTCATATAGTTTTTGGGATGTTTGTTATTGCTGAAATTTCTCTCTTTGGATAGCAATTATATAGACTAATTTTGACCTCTTTTGTGGTTTAAAAATGTTTCCTGTCTCTCCATATATTTGCAAAACATTTTATGCCTCTCTTTCTGCCATAACTGTATTCTCTAACCTTGCAAGTTTTTTTATGTCCTTCAAACAATGATTTGAAGGAGATCTGCAAGTCACTTGTATTGCATAGATAAATTTATGAAATTTGTGAATTGCTTTGTGCAAAGTCACCTCTCTGTTGTTTTTCTTTCTTTCTTTTTGTTATATGATGCATAATTGGAAAATGTTGGCTCAAGGTTGCTTTTGCTACTTGGTCCTCAACCTCAAACACCCTGCGTACAAAAACATTTTCTTGTCAATCTTCTATTTCTTGTATTATTTTTCGTTAGAAGTAATTTTAAAATGACCATACTACATGTATAGATGAGTTTTCATTTTCTTAGAATTGCTTATTTGTTCCAAATTTGTAAAATGATAATATTTTATGGTCTGTGTTCTCTCTTGAATGTTGCATTTATTTGGCTTAAGGAAGTAAGACATAGGTCGATACTTCTAGGGTCAATGAAGTAAATGCCAATCCCTAAAAGGTTCCAGAGGTGAATCCATCAAAGAAAGACAACTCTTCTATTGCGGAAAAAGAGGAAGGGTTCGTCTACAAGATAAAAATAGGAAGAAAGATGTTCTCGTAATAGCGATGAATATAGTACTTTTCTAAAATTGTAAAATGGATATATCTAGTGGGGATGGAGGAAATAGTGGAAGATGACTAATTGACTTTCCACAATAGCCTTTGACCAAAGAAATCCCATAAAAAAAAAAAATTTAAAATGTAAACAATACCAAAGGGTCGAAAATACCCCCAAATAAAAGAGGAGAAGAGGAAAGAAAGAGAAAACTAAGAGGAGAGGAAAAAAAAAAAAAAAGAATCTCATCACTATTGCCGGAGATTGTCATTTCTCACAGATTAGATTTGTTTCTTTGTAATTTACTCACCATTAAGCTCTAACACGTGGGAATTTGAATGTTTAGGGATTGAATATGTTAAGCTATGAGTTTAATACATACAAATTTGAATGTTTAGAGTTCGAATATGTTATAAGAGTTTAATTCAAATTTTTATAGTTAAAATAGAAGAAAAAGTCGAATTTGAGTTTGAAATGGTTAAAAAAAGTGAAAAAAATGGGACGAAGCTCGTCGGAAATGGAGTTTTCCGACAGCCCCATCGCCATCTCCGAATTCGAGCCGGATCTGGACGTCCGAATCCAGACGTTCGGGCCGGATCCGAACGTCCGACTCCCCATTTTTTAAGGCCTAGATTTTTTTTTCTCTTTTTGTGAATATTTTAAGAAGAAATTAAATTAAATATTAATTTTTTTTATCGAAGTAAGTGTTTAAAATAAAGTAAATAAAATATACATAACCAATTAAGGTGATTAATTAAAGAAATATTTAAAGAAGAAACTAAATTAAATATTAAAATTTTTATTTAAGTAAGTGTTTGAAATAAATAATTAAATAAAGCAATTAAATATTAAATAAATAATAAGTTTTTTATTTGAGTAAGAGTTTAAAATAAAATAAAGTAATTAAATATACATAACCAATTAAGCTAATTAATAAAGAAATATTTAAACGAGAAATCAAATTAAATATTAGATAATTCTACATGTACTAATTCATAAAAATGCTATAATATACATGTGGAATTCCATGAGTTGAGCATTGAAAAAATTATTTTTCAACTCTTCAATGATGTTATGCCACTTGTTTATAAATATTTCATGAATTATGTAAATTGTCTATTTAAGTAAAATAATTAATTTCTTTTTATCTCATTTTATTTAAAATATAAATAATTTAAATAATGAAATAAACAATTTAAATAAATATAACAAACAATTAAAATAAATAAGAAATTTATATAAATAATTAAATGAAGTAAATAAATATAAATTAAATAATTAAATAGAATAATTAAATATTAAACAAACAATATATATAACCAATTAAAATAATTAATGAAATATTTAAATA